TGTCATTTATTTAACATCAGTACCGAAATCGCCCCCTCATGGAATCTGCCTCAGAACATCGGGGTCGCATTTTATGTTAAATGACATACTCCTGTCACAGGTCACCATTGGGAGCATGTAGACAAATGCAAGAAAAACGGCTTGATAGCGCCAATGACATTACCAGCATCCTTCAGAGATTTCTACCGCCGCTCCAGTCAAAGAATACAGAACCCTAGGGGAAGCGATAACATCGCTGAATCTGTGATTCAACCAGCAGACAAGGATGTGTAATCGTTATGAGGTTGAAGAAATACGCGGAGAACGCCCGGGGTCTCTTGAGAGATGGTTCAACATCCTATAAAATCCGCCAAATTGCTAGAGGAACATTGCCACCCAAAACTATCGCTCTGATCAATAGGCTGGTCAGCGAGCATAACAGTGATCAAGACAAAGTACAGAAGTGGATCAGATGTGTCTGATCAGGAATCAATGGCGACCAGAACACATACATCTACGGGCGCTAACTAAGATACATAAAGTGGAATTCAAGAATCACCATCTGCACGAAGCTAAGCGGCGGGTATGAAATATTTTGGAAACAGTTAAGCATGGAGCTGACTAAAAGCAAAATCAACTAAGACAAAGGAGCATACAGACTCAGTCTAGCGTGTTTTTACATATTACGTAATTACATTGTGGATAAATATGTGCTATTTTAGCTCATTTTTCGTTCCAAACTCATAACCACGATCTTTGTATTTGTAAATTCCAGATTGTTCAAATGTGCGTTAGGAGAATGCCCAGCGCCCTTTTTAAGACGGAGCTTTTCATCCAAAAATGGGAGTGAACTATTTGTTTGACCTTGCTACAGATGGCTTACCATCTTTAGATACAAGATCGTTGCGATTCTTGCTGTGGATCACAACAGTGATTGCGCTCCCCCTAAACCCGAACTAAACTATTTAAATAATAAAATGAGAACGTATATTTAGGTAGTCCAATATTTATGAGTTTGAATGATAGTACATTGAAACTTCGTTGGAAGAACACCTGCCTCTTTGACAAGCATTATTCGCACTTTGAAAGACAACTATATCAAATGGTAATATAATGTGACGTTGTATATTATGTTGTTAATTGATTGATGGAGGTCATAATTTGAACGCAGTTGAATGCCATGTCGT